AAGGGCCCTTGAAACCCACCGTTTCAAGGTGGTGGGTTTCAAGGGCCCTTTCCCTCACCCCTGCTAAAGGAACTTGGTGTTTTCCAGCTCGGACCACCTGGAGATGAGCGGCATGGTCCCACTGCAGACCACACCACCCACCGAGAAGAAGCGGGTCCTCAAGCGGCCCCCCATCCTTGAGGACTACATCAACGTAACGTCCACCGAAGGCACCAGGGTCTTCCTGGTCGTGAGGGATGATCCCAGCAGGACAGGGGTGGAGGTAAGGAGGGATCTGAAGGCTGGGCTTGCTTGTCCATGACCTCCATCCAGTTCAGGAGGGGATCTTTGATGAAGCATGAAATATTTGGTGCTGAGCATGGGTCTGAACGTCGGTGTGTGTCCTCTGGTCCTCGTAGCTCCCCGATTCCCTGGGCTGGAACGCACGCAGGCCGCTGCACTTGCTGGGGGTGCCTTTCTCCTACCTGAAGGAACAAGTGGACGAAGAGGTATCGCATCTTATACCGACCTTCCCCTTCTCCCCTCCCACCCCTGGGTAGCCACAGTGTTGGCTCCCAAATCCCTGCTCCCTGCAGCTGTGGGGGAGCAGGGCGGCTCTGACCCCCCTCTTCCCCTCTGTGTCCTCAAGCGTCGCAGGCATGTTCTGGAGGCATCACAGCAGCTGACGGAGATAATAAACAGGTGAGATGTTGGGATGAAATCCTGCTCCTATCCCTGCCGCACTGTCGGATGTGACTCAAGATGCTCCAGTGGGGTCCAGCTTTTGGGGACTTGTGAGCAGAGGAGCCTCTTTGCCCTGAGCATCCCCAGCTTGGGAATTCTGGTTGTGATTCCCAGCCCTGCCCTGATTCCCTGCGTGGTTTGGGGCAAGCAAATTCTTTCTTGCAGTTGCCTTGAGAGTGAGACCAGTGCCGAGAGCCTGGGGCCCAGCATGGAAGCGGAGCCAGCAGAGGAGGAGGAGTCTGCACGGCATTGCCTCTGGGTGGACAAGTTCACTCCCCGGCGCTACATGGAGCTGCTCAGTGATGATGTGAGGTGCTAGGATAAGTGGGGGCTTGGGGTTTGGGGGGCTTTCCTGCTTTTATAACTCTTCGTTAGTGCTGTGGGATCGTGGTTTTATGGGGCTGCTTTTGCTCGTGGGACTTCCCGAGGCGCTGGCTGGGGTGCTCTGTCCGTGCTGGCCCTGCTGCGGAGAGCTTGGGCCAGGGGGGTTTCAGCAGTAGATGTGGTTCTTCCCACAAAAGAAACTATGAAAGATGACCAAAATAGACAAAAAAGCTTGAGCGGACTTTAGCCAGGAATTGTTGGCTGTTTAGATATTTTTTTAAATATTAAAAGTTTTGTAGGGAATTGGAAGTTATGGAAGAGGCTGAGAAGTGCTGGGTTGAGCCGAGGCAGACGAGGGGCCGCAGCAGTGGGGCCGATATGCCTTGTCCTTGGTTGCCCTGTGGGATGCTGGCCCAGCCGGGAAGGGAAGCTGTGTTCCCGTGCTGTCCCAGAGAGATGCTGGGTGGGAAGCAGAGCAGCCTGTCCCGTGGTGGGGTCTGTCTGGGTGGACACGCTCAGCGTTGCCTCCTGGGGCTCAGCTCCTTCCTCATAAGCCGTGCAGGAAATGCCTTCCGCTGTCCTGGGCCGGATCCTTCCGAGGCTGGAGGGATTTCCTTGCTTTCTTTCCCGACACGCAGTACACAAACCGCTGCCTTCTGAAGTGGCTCAAGCTCTGGGACACGGTGGTGTTTGGGAAGGAGAAAGCCATGAAGAAGGCCAAGCCCAGCGCTGAAGCTCGTGCTCCGTTCAGCCAGCCCAAGGAGCAGCAGAATAAGTGGAAAACGAAGGTCCAGCTCACAGAGGAGATTCTGGAGGCTGAGCTGGACCAGCACAAGAGACCCAAATACAAGGTGAGCAGGGCAGGGCACTGGTGTGGTGGATCTCTCCTATCCCCCTCATCCTGCCGCTGAGGTGAGGAGCAGGGTC